TGTGTGTGTGTGTGTGTACATACACACACACATAAGGTGAAAATTATTTTAATACTTCATTTTATACTTTATTTTTAGAAGTACATTCTAGGTCCCTCCCTGGTGTTGCAAGGGGTTAAAGCACAACACCATGAAGCTGTGTGCAGTCACTGCAGCACAAGTTCAATTCCCAACCATGGAGGTGACCCACAAGATGCAGCAGATCAATCCTGACCCTCCTGCTGCTCCCCTCAGCAGTGTACTTCATCGATCTGCCTGTTCTCTCCTCACTCTGTCTCTGGTGAATCTTCTTGCCCAAGCACATACACCTCTGGCACATACACCTCTGGCCTGTACCCCAGTTTATGTATGCATAAATAAATAAATCTTTTTTAAAAAAGTACATTCTAGAATTCCAAAGGGGTAATGAATATAATATAATCTTGTGTGTGTGTCAAATAGTGTTAAAATTCTGTACAAGTAAAAATACTTTAAAATACTTTATTAGATTATTCTGTTTACTCAAATATTTAAGGCTTATAAGATAAATCAAAGGACTTTCTTCAAGTAAAACCTAAAAAATATCTAACAAAATGTACCAAACTTCTGGATAAATCCACCCTCTTACTATACCCTGTCTGCAACTTATCTACAGCACTTTATGGACTTTAACTGATTATAAGTTTCTCTCCCTTTACACTGAGAATTCCCAAAGTCAGGGCTGCAGTAAGTCCTGACTGTAAGCCAAGACCAAGGATGGTGTCTGGCATACCCTCAGTAATAACTAGGTATTTGATAAAGGAATGGAAATATTTTCATTTAGGAAACTGAGGGTATAAAAATTTTTTTACTGTGATATGACAAACACTAATTTATTGAATGAATTTGGGAGAAATGATGAGAAAGAACACAGTGCATTCCCCAAATAAATTATAATCCAAAGTGAAGAGAAGATATTTATGAAAATAAATACAAAAAGTAAAGGACAATAAATACTGTGAAAAACTAGAAGGTGAAGTGGGCAAATGAAGGAAGCAAAGGAAGGCTACCTGGAAAAGGTGACATTTCAAGTATTTGAAATAGTATTTTTTTAAATATTTATTTATTCATACAGAACTGGCATACAGGCCAGAGATGCAGGGGTGGTGAGAGGATTCACCAGAGACAGAGTGGGGAACAGAACAGGAAGATCGACAAAGTACACCGCTGAGGGGAGCAGCAGGCAAGTCAGAAGAGGTCTGTTGCACCATGTGGGTCAACTCGGGAGCAGGCAGGGATCAAACTCATGCTGAAGTAGCTTTAGTTTCTCCGCTGGCCTCCAGGGAGGGCCCAACCCCCAAATAGTATTTTTAAGTACTATTATTGCCAACTATGGGCCAGGTGCTGGGAACATAACAATAAAAATTAAAAAATTTTTTTAAAAGTCTGTTACTGTAAAAAAAAAAAAGTCTGTTACTGTAGACTATTATAGCTGCATTGGAACGACAGTACAAGATAATGCTATATATATCATGCAATGAGATAAAAGAAAGCAGTCAAATATACATGGAATTTGGGGAGCAAACACTGTAATTTTAAAAAATGTAGTCAGGGAATGCATTAATGAGAATGTAATATTTGAATAATAATCTAAAAGAGTTAAGGAAGGTTCCAATAGCCAAGATGTACAAGCAATTTGCCAACTGATTATTGCATGACTAGATAAAAATATAACTGAATAAACAAAGTGTCCACATACACATAATGGAGTACAACTTAGCTATTAAAAAAAAAAGATGAAATCTTTACATTTGCAGAAAAACTGGAGGAAGTGAAGGGGATTATATTAAGTGAAGGAAATCAGAAGGAGATAGACAAATATTGGCACTTTTAGTAGATTGCAGAATATAAAGAAAGCAGATAAAAGAAAGAATAGACTAGTGAACTTTGACAACAGAACTAAGGATATTAAAAGAGAACATGATGAAGATAGGAAAGGTGGGGGTACTAATGGGCTTGTCTTATTTTTTATTTGATTAAAAAAAGGACTATAGGGTCTCCCTGGTGGCCAAACTTGTTGAAGCCAGTACTACAAAGCTAGCTGCAGCCCCTTCGATATGATACTATGATCCCTAGCCAGGTAGTTGACCCACGTGGTGCAGCAGACCTCTCCTTTCTGGGCCGCTTCTCCCCTCAGCAGAGTAATCTGCCTGCTCTGCTCCTCACTCTGTCTCTGGTGAATACTCTCACCGCCCCTGCACCTCTACCCTGCACCCCAGTTCTGTATGCATAAATAAATGAATCTTAAAAAAAAAATTATAGGTCTTAGGCATACAACTCTAGCCTCTTCACTCTTTTGAACCAAGATTAGTAGATATATTAACACATTCAAAACCACACATTTCTGCTCAAGTTCCTCAAATTCTGGAATAACTATGACTAATACATGACTTTAGAGGTTTATTTTAAGGGGTATTACACTGTGCCCTTGTTCAATTCATGTAAATGTTGTATGAGAATATTTTCTTTGGAAGGAATTATCTAACTGTGAGTAACTTTTAAGACATATTTCTTCACAGCCTTATAGATTATTAGTGCAAGACTGTTCTGGTATAAAAATATTTTTCCTAAGTGCTCTTTAGAAAAAAATCTTGGCCAATATAATTTTTAAAAAAGATTAATTTATTTATGCATACAGAACTGGGGTGCAGGGTAGAGGTGCAGGGTCAGTGAGAGGATTTACCAGAGACAGAATGGGGAGCAGAACAGGAAAATGGATGAAGTACACCACTGAGGGGAGCAGCGGGCGGGTCAGGAGATGTCTGCCACACCATGTGAGACATGCCCTGGCTGGGGATCGAACTCGCCCTGAAGAGGCCACAGCTTACTTGCAATGCTGTGCCTTAATCTGTTGTGCCACCAGGGAGGGACCTGCCGATATAATTTTTTTTTTTTGATAAAATGCTCTATGTACATTAAAACACTTGAAATCAGATTTAAATAAAAGAGTGAATGGATGTGAGCATTCTCCAGAGAGTACACAGGAGGAATACAGTATGAGTGACAAAGAAGAAAAGAACAGTAAGAGATGAGGTCTAAAAAAATGAGTTTGGGATTAAGTGAATCAGGGTTGGTGTCGAGCCTTATGGGAGACAGCACAACTTCCCTGGGGAGCATACCACCTGTATTTTTCACTTGTCCAGTTGAGCTCATCTGTGTCCACAGCTTCATCTACCACTTATATATCAATAACTCACAAAGTCATTACCAGCTTATACCCCTCCCCTAGAAGATGAATTTCTAGTATTTACAAGCATCTATACCATATAGGTATCCTCAATATTCCCAGGGAACCCTAACCTCATACACCCCAAACTAAAATCATGTCATAAATGCCCTGGTCATCTGAAATTTTTTTAAAGGCTACTCTCATGTCACAACTTCTGATTTCTAAAAAGATAACTTCAAAGTACTATATTGATTACATACATTATTTGAAAAGTTTACCTGTGTGTTTCAGCTTCTTTTTCCTTCCTCAATTGTGTAAGACGTTTTTTTGCTTTGATAAATTTTCTAATCTTTTCATCATCATCTTCTTGCTGCTGCTGTTCTACAGCTTTTATGATATTTTTATCATTCAGATGTTCCTTAGGGAAAAAAACTACGTATTATCCTATCACCAAAAAAAAATCTTTCAACATATGACTGCTAATAAGAACCTATCAAATGGTTCCAGACTATTTCTCTCTGGAAAATTTATCCCATAAAGATATCAGAGATGTATATTAGCTTTATGTATCATGTACTTCATTTCAAAGCTATTTATAATGACAAAAAAAACGGAAACAACCCTTAAGTATTTAAAAATGGGGAAATGGCTAAATAAAAATCTCAGTGACATGAGAAGATACAAATGATACAATCAGTAAAACATTACACAGCACATTCTACTTTTGTAAATACATATAGGTAGCAATTAATGATATACATAACCAGAAGAAATGTATCAAATATTAATATTAATGTCTCTGCAGTATGAGACAATGGATGACATTTACATCTTCTTAGTGCTTCTCTGGATTTCTTTTCAAATATCACATTTCTTTAAAAATACATAATCAGAAAAAATATATTAAATACATACAATTTTCATTTAATGTTTAAATAGTTAATACAGTTGTATGGAATAAACATTTTAAAGATCTAGGGCTCTCCCTGGTGGCGCAATGGGCTAAAGCACCGCATTTATGAAGTTCTCCAAAGCCACTGCAGCATGAGTTCAATCCCCTACCAGGGAGCTGACACACATGGCACAGCAGACCTCTTCTGATCCACCTGCTGCTCCCTTCAGCAGTGTACTTTGTCAGTCTGCCTGTTCTGCTCCCCACTCTGTCTCTGGTGAATCCTCTCACCCACCATACCTCTGGCCTGTACCCCAGTTCTGTAAGCATAAATAAATAAATCTTTAAAAAAATTTTAAAGATCTAAATGATATAGTGTGAAGTGCCCTTCTTACTCCATCTACTACCTAGTCTGACTAGGACTGAGTTCTGTGACCCCAACTGAATTAGCCATCATAAAAATAAGTACCTTTGAACACAATAGCCTGGGTACAGTCAATGTGTTTTGTTATTTTAAATGGAAACAAATTCAACATGAAAGTTATTGGATACAACATTTAATCTTCTAAAATGTATTCAAAACTCAGTGTTTGCCTCATACCTAACACTCAAGTCCACTTCTATTTTACAGTCGATTACTTTTTAAAAGTTTATAATCTGGTTAGAAGATGCATTAATCAACTGAAATGCCAAATTGTTAAAAGTATAGTTTTGAATACTTTCTACTGTGTTTTCCCCCCTCTATTCACTGTAATAGCCATACAGGTTTTTTACAATAGGAAAATGTAGAGTTAAATAACACAAAATTAATTCTCATTTTTAAATATTGCAAGTCTTAGCTCAAGGTCAGACAGTAGTAAATGGCAGAGTTGGCACTTAAAACAAAGCCACGCCAAAGTGACTTGAAGAGAGGAAAAAATATTGCATCTGTAAAACAGGAGTAAGATTTTATATCAAAGTAACAATAAGATTATAAGCAAAACTTGGAAATTAAAACTTATATCGCTAAAATTTAAAAATTCAATAGAAAGCTTTGAAGATAAAGTTTAGGATAACACTCAAAGTCAAAAAAAAAATGGCAGATTCTTCCTTCTCTATTAGTAGCAGGTCACAGATTTTTATTCAAAGTGGCAATATGCCCAGCAAAAAGACAACATGTCTAAGTTTTCTTTTCAGACAGATATGACTAAATTATGACCAATGAGATTTAGTGGAAATAGAGAAGTAGAATTTCTGGGAAGTTCCTTAAAGGGAGAACAGATAGCTAGGACACTTTTTGCCCTTCACCCTTTCTTCCTTCTTGCTACACAGAATGTGCCATGAGGGTGGGAGCTCAAGCAGCCAGTCAGGGTGCTAAGGTAACCTTAATGACAGAAGCCATCCATGTTCCAAGAACAGCAAAGAAGAGAGATAATGTCTCTGTTGATTTTGGAGGTGTCAGATTAGTCTTGGTACTTTAAGTTTTGGCCTGCTTAAGTTACTGTTATATTTTGGGTCTTCTGTTAAGCCATTTAAGCCATTTCCTAACTATATATTAAATGAGTTTTTTTTTTAGCCACCCCCCCAAAAAATGATTTTTAAAGAAGAGATATCAATTCAAAGGTTACTGAAGGGGTTCTAGAATAGAAGAGATAAAAAGATAAGAATTATATAAGAAACAAAATACAAAAAGTTTCCAGGATGAACCAAATGTGAGTTTTCAAACTGAATACACCAATTGAGTGTTCAGCAAAATGAATGAAAAAGACTTAAACCAAGGTATATCATTGTGAAATTTTAAATCTTTGGAGATAAAGACCTGAAATCTTTCAGATAAACAGAGAGAAGGGATCAGAACAAAACAGAACAAAACAGCAGATTACAAACACAAAATGAAGACCATAAGTGTCATCATATTTCTCAATAGCAATGTAGGAAGCGAGATGGTTATGAAACCAATATAAAATTTTGCATTCTAAACCCAGAATTCTACATCCAGTCAAAGTATAAAGCAAGTATGACTTGAGATGATAAACCTTTCAGATCAGAGTAAAAGGTTTACCTCCTAGTTACCCTTTCAGAGGAAGATACTTGAACATGTTATTTTCACAAGATACAGAAGCAAACCAAGACGAAGGCAGAAAATTCAGGAAGTAGGAGCTTCAGCTCAGGACAGTAGGCAAAAGACATCCTAGAATGACAGTTGGGCAGCAAACCTACAGAACAAACAGTCCAGAGGGGAAGATTCTGGATGGGGGAGTTCCACAAAAACCAGTAACATATATAACTGAATATTACTTAGCTTAACATTTGAAAATCGTACCAATACACATGAAACAATTATTTTAATAAAAAAATTACACAAGAAAGAAAGTATAGAATATAATTTTTATACCAGAAGAAACAGCTAAAAGAATTTATTTGCCACCAAGACACAGAAGCAATGAAGTAAAGAACTATTACTCTCACTTTAAGCCTTTAGGTGTTGTTTGATGTTTTAAGTTTGTGCATGTATTATATAAGAATAAAAACTAATTTAAAAGAAAAGAATGTAAAGGCTTATGAAATAAAATAAACTTCAACAGTGCCCTCCCTAGTGGCACAGCAGGTTAAAGCACAGCACTAAGAAGCTAAAGCCACTTCAGCATGAGTTCAATACCCACCCACCCCAAAGGTGACCACATGGCGCAGCAGACCTCTCCTGACCTGCCTGCTTCTCCCCTCAGCAGTGTACTTCATCGATCTGCCTGTTCTGCTCCCCACTCTGTTCCTGGTGAGTCCTCTCACCGCCCCTGCACCTCTAGTCTGTACCCCGGTTCTGTATGCACAAATAAATCTTTTAAAAATAAATAAGTAAATAATAACAGCCATTAAATTATTACCATATATTGACCATTTTTATAGGCCAGCAGATACCAGACTGAATTCATATTCATTTCTCACAACTCCTTTTATTTTAAGGATATGAAAATGAATACATTTGGAGGGAAAAAGCAATCCCTTCTCTCTTTCTGTTATGTAAGAAAACACATTCATATAAAATCATAAATATAGTTCCCTCAAGTCTATTCATTCCTTAGAAAGTATATAACAGTTTTCTACTTCATTATTATTTCTAAAAAAAATTTAAAAGTTAAGTATTAGACTTTGTACATTTTTGAAGAAATGAACAAATGCTTATTTTCAACTTACAAAAAACAGTCTTCTGCTTTCATTTATCTCTTCTTTTTTCTTTTCTCGTTTTTTTTGCATTTCTATTTCATATAATAAATTCTGTTGCTTTATTTCCTCAGCATCCTTTTCTGCATGCTTTCTCCTTCTTTCTTCTTCCTCTTCATGTTCCCTTATTCTAAAGCAAAAACATAGTAATAACTGAGCTCAAAGTAGAGGAAAAGGTTATATTTTTAAGAAATGAATAAGATTCTGGACCCTCCCTGGTGGCGCAGCAGGTTAAAGCACAGCACTAAGAAACTAAAGCCACTTCAGCATGAGTTCAATCCCCACCCATGTGGGAGGTGACCCACATGGCACGGCAGACCTCTCCTGACCAGCCCGCTGCTCCCCTCAGCAGTGTAGGCCTACTTTAGTAGGCCTATTCTGCTCCCCACTCTGTCTCTGGTGAATCCTCTCACCACACCTGCATCTCTGGCCTGTACCCCAGTTCTGTATGCACAAGTAAGTAAATCTTTATTAAAAAAAAAAAGAGAGAGAAGAAATTAATAAGATTCTAAACTGGGGTGATTTAAAACCATATAAGAACTGATAGATTTACGGGGATAAGAACAGATAAATAGTAGTGATTAGAGCCAAATTCAACCTTGCTTACCCCAGTATTGCCAATATCTTACTTCAAAATTTATTTCATTTCTCACCAAAATAAGTTCTACATTAGACTCAAGTGTTCCTTTTCTTTAGAAAGAACTAATTAACTCAATCATTGAATGGTAGGATGGTAACATTATTTTACAGAAAAGTTCCTAACCGCTAGTACTTTTCAATTCTAGCACTACATTATGCTTCTGCCTTTCAGGAGATGGAGTTTGATGGAAAGAGAGAAACAAAGGTTTCTTTACCCCGTTGCTCATTTTGGTTGTCATTCTTTTTCTAGCCAACAATGACAAGCTACTGATGCTCTCTAAATAATAAGTCATCAAATGCTGGTTCTCTCTCATGGCTAATGAATGAGTTTTTCAGAGATACGAGAGGTCTCCTCACTGCACAACTCTGACCTGGGAGTTTTAACTTCAGCTCTACTTCCTCAACATCCCTAATGCCCCTCCACAATCTCTACCAGAACTTCCACCATTAGTAATATGTTGCAAAATTCTGAGTGTCGTCATCAGACAATTCTCTGCATACTGGCAAGACAGCTCAAGCCCATAGTGTCTACTTGCCCAAGCACCCTTGTGAGTCAGTCAATCACCATGTAGGTTGTCTCACTACTTCTTCTTATCTTCCAACTCTAATATTTTTCCTTCCTGAATGGATAGGCACAAAATAAGTCAACAACTCACCTAAATAGATAAAAAGACTAAAGAATAAACCTTTCTTTCACATATACCCTGTCAAAAATTTTTTTGGAGTCTTCTTATTTATATTCAGGAAGGGAAAAATTCCCAACCTCTTTAACATAGAGGACAATATAGTAAAGTGAGCAAGTTGTATTCACTTTAGTATTAGGACAATTCAAAAGAGGAAATTTCTAGTTGATTCATCTGTACAGAGTAAGTAATTTTAGTCAATCATTCTCTAAGAGCAGCTAAGATAAAAGTCACTGTTGGCTACAGTTTTGGCAAGTTTATGACTTCTCTGAAAAAACAGGTTTTCAAAATTTTATTTGCTTGTTTAGTTTGTTAGAACACTTTAATGGTTTGCCAATCCTTTAAAGGTAAGTTGGCAAATCAATAATCAAGATTTCAATGACATTGTAAAGAGAAACATATCCAATTTTGAGAATATTCTGAAGTTTTTAAATTGCTTTAAAACATGTAATTTTGACATTCCTTAGCAAACCTGAAATCACTAGCATCATGGATTAGATAATTCATTACCTTAGCAAAAAATATGCCCACTCTAAGAATGAAAACAAAACTGTCTCTTCTACTGTCAGCAAAAAGGAAATTTTGTCAGCACTTAGATAACTTATAACCACTAATTAAAATGTAATTATTTATATAAAAAAAAACACTATTACTTTAGTTTGGGTAAGCTACTCAACTATCTGCCATTAAATTGGCTTAACCAGTGTTATGCTGAAGGAAATTTGATATCCTCTATATATATAAAACATTCATATCTTTCCAGGATGTGGACCTATGTCCACAGCAGAGACATCAATAACCAAACACAAAGCTCTTCCTACTGGGTCTTGGTCCTTCTGAACCCAATGTACTGCCTCTAGAAAGCAGAGAGAATTTTTCATGAAACCTCTCAGTCATGCCTGATTCACATCAAGAAGGTCTCAAATGTGCATTTACCTAGCCCAAACCTAACTTGAAGATTATATAAATACTGTATAATCTTCCTATAAAAGGAAGAGGGGTCCCCTATACAAAATTCGGTTCAGGTGATATTCTACATGCCCAGAGAAACTGAGAGAGAATATAATGCAAGGGACTCTGAGGGAGAGGTGTGCAGACATCAGTAGTTCTGAGTTGACTTGGGCAAAGCAGAGGGAATGGTTTTGGACTTTTATTATGCCTAAGTGGTAGGACTTGGGGACTGTTCCTGTACACAGGAGCTCTAAATATCCTGCTGGACCCAAAAGAGGTGTTAAGTCCAAAGGTGGTCTTATCAAGTCTGTCCAGAAGGAGAGAGAGAAGGAGGTCTTTAAGGCCAGCAATCAAGTATCAACAAACATCAAAATGAGATCTGACTCTGTATTACAAGAAGCAAGCTGGATTCTTGCAAAGATAAGCCATAAGACATTGCCATCTGGCTATTACAGTGAATATAAAGTACCTCAGTACCTCAAGTATATAGACAAATAATGAGATCATAAAATTCAGGTAAGTACTATAAGGAAAATAATGGGCCAAGAATAAAAGTAACATCAAGGTATTTATTTTACATTTTTAAAGAAGATTTATTTACTATTTATGCATACAGAACTGGGATACAGGCCAGAGGTGCAGGGGGTGAGAGGATTCACCAGAAAAGAGTGGGGAGCAAAGCAGGGAGATGTACTGAAATACACTGCTGAAGGGAGCAGCAGGCAGGTCAGGAGAGATCTGCTGCACCATGTGGGTCAGCTCCCTGGCGGGGGATCAAAATCGGGAGGCAGGGCTCTGTAGCTTCACAGTGCTACTCTTTAACCCCTTGTGCCATCAGGGAGGTCCTATTTATTTTACATTCCTTGGCAGAATTGTTTCCTAAGACAATTCTAGTGAGAGTTGTTAAGATATTCAAGTTTGAAGAATGGGAGAGTAAAATTTCAGGTACCTTATATTTATTTACTGTACCTAGAAACAAACTCTTCTTCCTCTTCTTCTAACCTGACTCTTTGGTTTCTTATCCTTATTCTGGTGAATAGGATCTTCTTTTCAGTTGTCTAAACTAGAGACTTAAGAATTATACTTAGCTCTTCTGTAATTATACTTAGCTCTTCTGTACCTCTCATTCATTTATTTAACAACTGCTTACTAATCTTATTAATCTGCTTACTAATCTTACTAATTTCTACTATAATGATGAAACAGATAAATATGGTTCTTGCCCTAAAGAAACTATAGTCTAGTGGGGGAAACAGAAATGAGTAAGTAAACGCAAATATATAGACAAATAATGAAGTCATAAAATTCAGGTTAAGTACTGTAAAGAAAATAATAAACCAAGAAAAAAGTAATAACAAATTATTTATCTTACAAAATGTTGGCAGATTTGTTTCCTTACAACTCTTGTAAGAGGTACATAGTTGTGAAGAGTCCAAGTATGAAGAATGGGAGAGTATAGTTTCAGACAGATAAAAACACATGTGAGAAGGCCTAGAGAGAAGCAAGGGTTTGACAATGTTTAAGGCCAGTATGAGGAAGGTACAAGAAGTCCTGGGAGGGGCAGTTGGGATGCAGATAAAATCAGATCAGATAAGGGCTTGCAGCAGATAGTCAAGTTACCATTTTACTTAAAATGAAAAAAGTCATTAAAATGTTTCATGTGGGAGAATAATCAACTTTCATTTTAATAAAATTCTTGAGATGATGAAAGCAGAGGTATTAAAGACAGGCTAGGAGGCATATTAAGAGGTTGATGTAATCCATGAGACATGAGGGTGGCTGATATAAAATGCCAGCAGTAAATTCAAGATTCATTTTGGAAAAAAAGTTAACATGAATTGCTGATAGATTTGATGTGAGAAACACAAGAAAATGAGGAATTAAATGTTTCTTGATAAATATAAGATGTAGAAATTTCTGGAACCATTTGAAATACAAGCTCATATGTCAGAGATCTACATCCTTCCTCTCCTTGTTCCTCACAATGCAACCAAGGTAAGGGGGGGATATTCTAGGCCATTACTAGAAATGAGAGTCTTTAAAAATGGCAAAAAATATCCATCTATTGAGTGTTCTTTAAAATTTTTGAGGCCCTCCTTGGTGGTGTAACAGGTCAGGATGCAGCACTGCAAGCTAGCTGCAGTCACTTCAGCATGAGTTGGGTCCCCTGCCCAGAGGTGATCCACATGCACAGCAGACCTCTCCTGACCAGCCCGCAGCTCCCCTCAGCAGTGTACTTTGTCAGTCGGCCTGTACTGCTCCCTACTCTGTCCCTGGTGAATCCTCTCACTGCCCCAGCATGTCTGGCCTGTACCCCAGTTCTGTATGCATAAATAAAATCTTTGATACATTCATATAATGTATATACATTGAAACTACAGTATAAATAAACTTGTAACTCTTACACTGCAGAAACAAGTGGCTTCCACCAACACCATGGAAAGAAAGTTTGTATGATTATTTACAAAAATAATAGCATTACTAGAGTGGATCAGATTACTGTTCAAAAAGGTTCACTCTCCCCTTCTATGGGAGTTTATTTCTTTGTTTCAAAGTTTTTAAGATTAACCCAGATGACTGGCTTTAGGTGAGCATAAGCTAAGTGTATTTCCATGACCTTTTGCTTTGGGTTTAGTCATATTCTATGAGAAACTATGAGAAACTATGAAACTATGAAGAAAAGTGTCCATTGTGTAGCTGCTCTCCCTTCAGTCTATACCTCACAATAAATAACACAGAGCAGCTCAGAGCTTTCCCCACAGCAGCAACCATCCCAGCTAGTCCTGTCATTTAAAGAAAAGCCAAGCCTCACCTAGGTCAACCAACTCACAGACACCTGAGCGATAAACATGTACTGTTGAATGCCACTGGACTGTGTGGCTGGTCACACAGTGACCAGAGTAGCTGGTATATTATCCCTGGTGAAGGAAATAATTGTGATTTTTAAGCTCTTTGCATTTTTTTTCTTAATTACTAGATAGCTTAGTGTATATTACCTCTAGAACTGGGAAAAAAGGCTACATCCATTCTATGAGAAAGAGAGGAATATACAATAAAGGGAAGTTTATATGTACTTACTGTTGTAAATGATCATTGGCAAGAGCCACTCTATCTTTGTGTCGTTTTTCTGCTTTTTCTTGCTCTTCTTTAAAAGCTTTTTCAATATTGAGTTTCAATTGTTCTTCCCATTTTTTATCTGATTTTATTCTTCTCTTCTGAGATTCAATCTGTGCATCACGTTCTTTCATAACTTTACTAAGTAGTAGTCCTGACTACAAAAAAAAATACAGTACATTTACGATAGTATATTTTTGTATAGATATGTTAAACATATATTAAGCAGTATAAAATTCAAATAGTACATGAAAGTTTTTCACTCTTTCTGTCTGGTAAAATTGACATTGCTTTGCATTTTCAATGGCTTTTTTTCTTTCTCCTTGCTTATATATTGCTTCTTCTATATCAAGAACTTGTCTTTCTGCCTCTATTTCTTCATCACGCTTCTTTTTGGCTTCAAGTTTCTGTTCTTTCATCCCCTACAAAAAGACAAAAGTGATCTTCTATTTTCAGTTCACCATTTAACTTTCTAAAATACAACATTATAGGGCCCTCCCTGATGTGACAGGTTAAAAGTACAGCACTACAAAGCTAGCCGCAGCCACTTCGATCCTTGGCCAGGGAGGTGACCCACGTGGCACAGCAGACCATTCCTATCTCACCCACTGCTCCTCTCAGCAGTGTATTTCAGTAAATCCACCTGACCTGCTCCCCACTCTGTCTCTGGTGAATGCTCTCATGCCTCTGCATCTCTGGCCTACACAATAACAATTGGTGAACTGCACTTCAATAAAATTAAAAACTATTCATCAAAAGAGTATGAGGAAATAAAAAGCCAAGTCATATACTAAGAGAAAATATTTAATAAAGGACTTGTATTCAGAATATATTTTGAAAATGTCCTAAACTCAAGAGGACAATAGAATGCAATTTAAATACAGATAAGAAAAATCTGAACACTTCCAAAGAAAACAGACAGAAAACAAGTTCATTAAAAAATGTTCAACATGGAGCTTCCCTATGACCCAGCAATCCCACTCCTAGGTATCTACC